AGGTACCATTTGGTTTTAGCACCGCCTAGGCCTTGCCTGAGAGGATCTACTTTTCTCTTAGCAGCTCGGCGGAAACGATTTTCTTCCCTTTTGGTTTCCCAAGGGGGGGGTTCCTTTCTGTTTTGCTACTTGAAGGTTCCGGGCCCTTCGTTTGTGTGGCGATTGGTTTCCCACGTAGCATCTGCTGTTTTTCTTTGGTAGGGAAAAGTAGTCTCTCCGTTTCTCCTGTGGACTGAACGTCCGGCTGAAGGCTTGTCTCCAGATTTCTGTGAATTTTTGAATCATGATATCCTGCTTCAGATTTATTTGGATTTCATTTGCTTTACTGATAACTCATAAGATTCCCACGAGTAGCTAGGGAACTAAAAATTCCACTCCATCAGGACACCTAAATGGAGTAAAGCTAATTACTCTCTGAGATCGCCCGCTATCAAAGAGGTACCGTTCAAGACAGCCACTTAACCTGTTTTCTGTCTAGCCTCAAGACTCTATGTGTGAAGGGATAGTGGGACAGGGAAGGAGAGAGGTTGGGTTCTTGGACTTTGTTTTGGGAGGAGTGGTTTGAGAAAGTGAGTACCTCACATAAAGGGTAAGACACCAGAGCTCCCTTACCCTATTCGCACCGTGCCCTGACGTGGATAATCAATTATGAATCCTTCCGTCAGGCCGACGACGAACGTTTCCCCGAATCCACTATTAGGAAGTGGGGTTGGTTTCACTGCAAGATACCTCCTCCTCCCATCAAAATGAATAAACCAGCATTCAAAAAATGAGAATGGCACAAGTGAACACCCGTCACGCTAAGGCTGCCTCGGCAGTAATAGTTTGGATGTTCACAGCACAACATCTATGGGCAATTCTCATCCAGGAACTCTGGCAGTGAAAGGACAAATCAGAGGTTTGCCCTGCAAAGACGGTGAGGTTGTATGGGATTCCAGACAGGAAAATCCCCGTGCATGTATATTAATTAGGAAAAATACTAATTATCTCTGCCTTGCAAAATGCATGTCCAGAGACCTAATCCCCGTCAAAATGGAGATAACAACGGATGGGAAAAAACAAGAAGGAGTGGTAGCATCGGGCCACTTCACAGGAGAGGAGGACCACCCTCCCCCTGAAGAACTGCGGAGTCTGGCTTACTATTGCAGCGAGAAGCACGTCCCTCTATGGATGTGATGCCAACGCACACCACCAAGTCTGGGGAAGTAACAACAACAAGCGAGTTGAGTCACTCATAAAAGTTTTGGTGAAGGAAAAATTAGAAATACTTAACACAGTGTCACCCCTACCTTTGACATCAAAGCGAGACGAGAAGTATTGGACATTACCCTTTGCAGCTATGCCCTACACAATGTGATAAGAAATTGGAGGGTTTCTGGTGAAGAGTCGATGTCAGAAAATAGAATACTAAGGTTTGACATCGAAACAGGTAGGATAGACCCTACACCATAAAGAAACCCTCGAAACACTGACTGGTTCATTGAGATGGTACAATACATTTTAAACCATGCAAAAGTGAAAAGAATACCAAAAACCTGCAAAGAATTGGAACTTGCGTTACAGAACTCACAGAAGGTATAATTTATGTGTATTAGTCAAGGTCCTCTTTGAAGGAACCCAAAAATGGACAAGAATCAACCTGGTGAAAGAAAGAACTTGTCAAACTAAGAACTGAAACTAGAAGAACATTTAGTAAAACCAAAATAGCAAGTAACTGGGGAGAATAAAACAGGTTACTCACCTTGTATAATCACGCTATTCGCAGGGCGAAGAGAGAAAACTTTCGCAAATTCTGCGGCGACATGTCCTCAGTATCAACAGGAGCTAGATTACATAAGGAAATAGCAAAGGACAGAGTAGATATAAACACTGCCCTAAGGAAAAAAGAAATGCTCTTTCTAAGTACACGTTATCCGCTCCAAGGGAAGACATGAATAGGATGTTTGAATTTAATGAAAACTTCCAAATAAACCTAGGTACCAAAAAAGAATGTGAACGAGAGGAAATCCTCCTTTAAGAACGGCACCATCTTTTGGTTCACAGATGAATCTAAAACAGAAGAACGTACAGGGGTAGGAGTATTCGTTCTTGGAACCAAATACACAGAACCCATGGGAAAATACACCAGTATCTTCCAAGCTGCGATCCACAAATTCGAGAGATGTACTTGACTAAGGTTACAAAATCAAGAACACAGCTATCATGTCAGATCAAGCAGCCATCAAAGTTCAAAGCTCAAACATCATTAGTTCAAAGATTGTGTCGAACGGCAAAACCAAATTAAACATATTAGATACGCAGAACAAAGTCAGTCTCTGTTGGGTCCCAGATCATATGGGAGTAGAAGGCAACGAGAAGCGGACACCCTTGCAAGAAAAGGTGCTGCTACACCGCTAATAGGATCCTTTTGTGGCATAATAACCAACACTATCAATTAGTACCTCAGGCAGAAGGAAAAAAAGTAAATGAGGGAACAATGGAATTCACTCATTGAACACAAACAATCCAAGAACATCAAAGGAAGCAAGAAACAACTGCGAATCCTAACAGGACACCGCAAACTAAATGGACATTTACAGAAGTTTGGTATAATCCAAGACGGCACATGCAGATTCTGCAAAGAACAGAGGAGACACCAACACACTTTTTAACAAACTGTGGTGTTACACTTGCCCGCAGGAGGAAGTGGTTTGTGATGTACAATGTGCCTGTAGAAGAAATTCAACCACTGAAACCAGGCCTACTAATCAAGTTCCTTGATGAAATAAGACTCACCGGTGTGCTAAAAGCACATAACGGGGGATACGATAGCTCTTAAAGGAGGCAGTATATTACACCCCCCTAAAACATCTACATCTACATCTTTTCAATAAATACGTACCAATATTTTTTTGCCGAAACAAAGAAAGCGCTACTTTATTTTCGGAGATGAAAAATTCATAGTAAATCAGTTTCATTCATAGATTTTAATGAATTTCATCGTAACTGAGGACGCATAAATTGCCCCGTTATACAAAACGGCAGAGAAAGCACGAATTAGCTCGAATAACAAAATAACATGTAACTATTGGCTTTTGGACCGGGGGGTGATGTTCGCATTTCATGCATGGTGAATAATTCTGCATTATTTCTGCTACCCATGTGATTTCTCCACAATCCGAGGTCCAGTGTGAATTGATCGCATCTTCCCAATTCAAATTCGTTTTATCAACATTTCCAAATTTAAATTTCAGTCGGTGAGGGTGTTTAAATTACAACTCACCCACTCATATTTCATTTATTGCTATTTTAAATATTACATATATTAAACGCGCTCCGCAAACATGCCACCAATGTGGGCAACTCTTAAATATAGATGTACTCTAGTTTTAATTCGGGTAATATCGATCCTCTTATATTGGTTTTCTCAATTTTTATAATGTTCTACAATTATTCGATATAGATGTATAGGCAAAGAAAGGTAGCCCAAATTGGATGGCAACACTGAGGATGAGGAGTCTTGAAGTAATTTTAGAATGTTGCAATGAAAACATCAAAACTGTGACTGTTGGTTATTGTAAATTATAAAAGACGTCATTGTTTATTTTCTGTCTCCTCACTCTCTCACAGACACTCTCATCCTCTCTCTATCTCTCTCGGTCTTGTCACTCTCCCTCTCAGTTTCTCACACAACTATTTTCTCTCTATTTTTCTTTATCTATCTCCCAATCGATCCATCATTCTCACCCCCTCTCTCATTCTCACTCTCACTTACTCAAGTTCCTTCTCTCTCTTTCTCTCTCTCTCTCTCTCTCTCTCTCTCTCTCTCTCTCTCTCTCGCTCTCTCTACCTCTACCTCTACCTCTCTACCTCTCTACCTCTCTTGTCTCAATTACAATACCTTCTTTGTCAAGATTACCAACAAATTGAGGACATGAAACAGTTCATTATTATCACGACGCTTTCCAACATTAGACTTCCAGAAACATTTCAACGTCTTCAGGAGTACAACCAAACTTGTAAAAATTCAATCATATCAGCTCATGAACACCAATATCGAAACTAGATCTGCTAACCAGCATCAATCATTTGAATAAAAAATAAGGGCTGGAGGGAACACATAGGATAGAGTGAAAATCAGCATGGTAACTCATACATATATTCACACTTATGAAATTGTAGTTAAGAACTGTGAGGAACTCATCTGAAGGACTGTGATAAGTTAGTTGATCAACCGCCTATTCACGCTGTTTTGACCAAGATGCGGTTTGGCTTGACGCCATTTTCAACTCTTTGTCGCGGTCGATGGCCCAAAGCCAAAGTTCGAGAAAACAGGAGGATGATCAGTTCCGAAGTAAATTGGCGACGGTTTTTCCTAAAATGTACTGACATATTGTATGTATTACATACTATACATTACCAAGTAAATTTAGTCTATTATTTGTATAACAATAGAAAAAGATTACCATTTTATACTTTTCCACACGTCTTCTTCATGTTAAATAAAATTATTTTTAAACAAAAATATTCATTCACTCATTTATTCAAATCCTCTCCCTACCTCCTCTTTCTCTCTGTATGTTTCTCTCTCTATGTTAGAAGGACCATCAGAAATAATTAATTAAATTTTCATCCAACGTATACAATGATCACATCCATATCAAACAAGCCTGTTTCTATAATCTAATTTATACCAACTTCACGAGTTGTTCGACTAGAAAATAGTGTTCGACTAGGAAAAGAAACACAAAGTTGTGAAGGTGTGCTTTGGAGAACATCGAGTGATTGATTCATGGGCGTAAGGACGAGGGAAATGATAAATTGTCTTTTAAAAATCGGACCGATTCTATCAGGTTTGAAATCCTTTCTTTGATTGGATAATGATTGGATTCTTGGATTGGATATCTGATATTGGACGAGCCAGTATCAGATATTATTTTCTTTTTCGCCATTGCTTTAAAACCAAATTGAACTTAGACTTGAAAAAAATTGAAGCAAAATAAAAACTATTTAATCATTACCTGTCTCCTTTCTGATTTCCATTTCGAACGCATGACTTTCACAAAATGAATCCAATTAATACTTGTCAAAAAGTTTTTTTTGTTTTAATCCAAGAAAACGAATTCTAATTTATTCAATAGACACTTTCCCTGAGGTGGGCTTTATCTCTTGAAACTTGAAATACTAAATAAGAGAAAACGGAAGAATCAATACACTGTCTGTGGTCGCTATGGAACTTTATCTGACGTTGCACCCCCCCACCTAGTGTAAATAGAACCTTGTATTTTTTATGTATTGCTCGGAAGCAAGAGTTGGGGCCATAGAATTTATTTTAAACTAGTTGGAAGGAATAATTTAATCTTTTGTTTTTAGTTTTTCATCAAAATAGATTGTAACAGGAAATACATGCATCTATTATTTACAATAGCAGAGTAAATAACATGGCAGACATTACGGCCACGGGCATGCATTTAAATGTAGAATAAACATGGAATACTATCATTAGTTTCAAGCAAATAACCCGTAAACCGACTCTGCTGACAATACTTCTGATAACTAATATTGGGTTGTCCGGAAAATAATGCAGGATTTTGGTATTAAACAAAAAAAAAGAAACTAGTTACTTTAAAGCAATGTTCTTTAATCAAAATAANAAACTTAAAATCCTGCATTATTTTCCGGACAACCCAATATAAACCCCCTTCCCTCGCTATGCGCGCATTATTATAATTTGTTCATTCTCAGCTGTAAACCCCGTCTGAACAGTTGTAGTTTTAAGCATTTGTTTGAGGGAATGATTATCTGGAGTTCATTAATTCCTGAAAGAACTTCATACTTTCAACAGCGCTATTATACTTTGACATTCAAAATTATAAACTTTGGTTTAGCACTGGTGTAACACGAATGTTAAGAGTGGGGAGAACGTGTACATCACTCAAGAAAAACTTCATTATATCCAACTTCACATCTTATTTTTTTCCAACCTTGACACTGAAATATTGTCATGATTACATCTACATTTTTGTTTCTCAGATACTCTTTTTTAAATGGGAAATTAATGGAACATATAAAAATTCATTTCTTTATGCCAAAATTTGGGTGATTAAGAAAGACGGGGTTGTTTAACGATCCTATTGACGATCCCATCAGCAAACAAACCCATTAATGGCCTTCAGTAACCATTTCTCCTATTTGGAAGAATGTTTCAAGAAGATATCACACCCAACATAACCTAAATTGTGGCAAATAAGTTTTAACCTTCGCCGCATCACTTTCCCTCCAAGTCAGAACAAATTTCTTCCTTTCCTTGCAACCAATGTCGTCCGATATTTGGGATTTAATATCACCACAAGATTTATTTGGAAACTTCTATTAGAAAGAATAGAATTGAAAAGACGATATAAACTATTTGAAAATTCACTTGACAACCGCTCTAAACGCCTCGTCTACATTCATTAGTATATCCAAGTGAACTGTTGGGTCCAGCCAACCCACAACCTACAAAGAATCGACTCACTCCAGTCTGAATTCTATGGCAATGGATTCGTGGATCCATTGCCCAAGTTCCCAACTCTATGTCCGACTTTCATGACCACACACAGACCTTCAAATCCCATTTGTCCTCGAAACCACTAATATGAACAGACGATTTTGTAAACCCCTAGACTCTCATCCCAAACCACAACATTCAAAGGTTCTAGACACTCATCTGAAATTCATGGAACCATTGTCCGAAATCTCTATTTCTCATCCAACCTCTTACTATGCACACAGACCTTCAAACTCTATTTGTTTTCAAAACCGCAGAAAGTCGATACATATCCAGATACACACAGATAAAAACATGGAAACTCAAAAAATCTTGTTTTTTTAACTAAATAAAACTAAAATTGCCATAACTTCAATTGTAGCATTTCAATATATTTTAATCATTTAAATTCGCTAATTTCGTGGTCCGCTTGACCAATTAAATCATTACAATTAATTAAGGTTTTTAGTTGAGATGAAAAAAGCTAATGGCACGAGAGGGATTCGAACCCACGACCTTCGGCTTGATACGCCGCTGCTCTACCACCTGAGCTATCGTGACCCCGATCCACNAGTTGATGTCCGAGTGGATCGGGGTCACGATAGCTCAGGTGGTAGAGGAGCGGCGTATCAAGCCGAAGGTCGTGGGTTCGAATCCCTCTCGTGCCATTAGCTTTTTTTCATCTCAACTAAAAACCTTAATTAATTGTAATATTTTAATCAGCTGAATTCAATTTAAAAAATAAAATAAAACAAAACACAATTGAAATGTAGAAATAACGTTTACCTGTGGTTACCAGCGTTGGATTGTAATATTCGTGCCGTCTCCAAATCAATAGTGACCTAATCAATTTATAATTGTACCGCATTATGCACTTCAATCACGATATTAAGAAGTCAAAACGACATGGAACAACAGTTTATTGTCATTTTTCAATGCCCCTTTACACTTTTGGAAATAAAACTTGAATGTCGTGATTTCAAAATTATATGTTATACAGACGGTTTCCTTTATAGTATCACATTAACAGACACGCATTTCTATTTGTATCATTGCCAGCTTTATGAACAATTATGTTTACTTAGGCGTCTGGAGAAAGATTAACGTTGTGAAACCGGAAAGCGTTTGGGTTACTGTGTGTAGATGACATCAACAAACATACTTCAAATAGGAAAGACCGTTTTACCAAGCGTTCTTATCGTGAACTTCCTATCGCAGAACGAGTTAGTTTAGGGTTTTTTTCATGAATCTATACTTGTTTGCTGACTGATGTGTGTACTTTACATTAAGGTTTTGCAATGACGGGTGTCCATCTTATTTAGATGTGCATCATTGAATCTTTTTTTTCGTTGGACATGCCCTAAAGAAAGTTTACTTTTTTAATGTTTAAAATTTTGTTTGTCAATTGAATTTTTATTGATTAACATTATTAATTGAATTTTCAAATTAAATTAACAGGCTTACGCCACTAAACTTGAAAACAGTCTAAAATATAACTTAATGGGATGTACACCCGATGGGATTTTATGATTTAATCCCCTGAGAGTAAGTTGTTTCATTAAATAAGAAAATATTTTCTGAATTAATCTTCAGCGAAGGTTAGTTATATTGTTCCGTTTACGGAAGTTAATTTCTTTCTATTCTCTCCCTACTGGGATTAAAGCTGTACAAAATTCTTTGGGACTGAAGCCAAATGAGTGAGGTATAAATTTCACCGACATCCACTCTTCATTCCCCAGACATTAGAAAACTCATACAATTCACCCTTTCGAAGAGGGCGGAAGACTCCTAATGACCTTTTATGCGACCTACAATCCGACGAGGAAATTGACCTGGTGTAAAATTTTGATGGGAGAAAGTCTGTATTCTTCCACTAAAAAGGGAGTAAAAACACTATATTGCCGTAATATCACACTACCGTATAAAATTACAACAATAAAAATACTTCAAATAAAAACGTTTTCCTAGTCAAAAAAAATAGAGCCAATGCGAGAATTATGTTACCTTTCTAAAAACAGTGGAAAACGTCAACAAGGGAATACTTAAAAAAGCCGTGCCATTTCTATTTTGAAAAAATTTATAACAAATTTGGCACAACACAAATTCACAATTATTTTAGGTAGGGTGTGAAAAAGCGTTGTGGTTTGTGTTTTCAAAAGACGCAAAGAAAAATTATTAGGTGGAAATCGATAAGGACATAAAAGAAAGAAAATGGATGGAGATTGATAAGAACATAAGAAAAAGAGAGAGAGAGAGATTTATGCAAAACAGAAATTGGTCAGTTTTTTCTTTTGGCAGATCGTTTATTTTCTCATTTGCTTGCAGTATTTCGGTTCTTAAAGCACTATGTACTTCTCCATATTTACAAATTTGATTTAGTTAAGTAAAATATTATCGCAGGAGTATACTACAGAAGCTTTACAGTCGTAAGGGAAACGGACTAAATTACTTTCTAACAATGTTCATAAAATATTAAAGATGGGAGTAAACATGAATATGGCCGTGGTTTAGTATTACGTAGGTCAGCTGAAACTTCTTAATAAAACCCATAAACAGCTTTTAAAAAAACATTGATATTTTTCTTAAGAATCATTTAAAAACTCGACATACTCTGGGATTAGATTATTTATTTGCCATTTTAGTAGTTCCAATATAAACAAATATTAAGGGAAATGGTAAAAACTTAGTCGAACCACTTTTTTGGAAGATAACAGTTTCAGTTCAGGGGCGGTGAGGTGTGTAGAAATTCAGCCAGTTCGATGAATAATGAAAGCTAAACCTGACCAGTCGGGACGAGCGGTTGATAAAGGGGGAAAACATCTTTTGAAACATTTTGGTGTTTACGACCGAAAAAAAAACCCGGTATTAAATAAATGAATGGCCAGGACCGGTGGTGGTGCTTTCAGTGAAAACGCCTTTGCCTTTAAACCGCTGCGCCACCCCAAACCCTAGGTCACGATTGATCCACGATTTTAATCCTCCCCCTTCCCCTAACGAAATCCGAATCTTATATGGAGATATGATAGCAAATGGCAAAATTGCCAATTTTAAAAAAGCAATAATCCCTCACGCCTTCACATTTACGATACCGTCACGATTACCCTATATTTATGTAAATATAGAAATACTTAGATTCATACATTTAATTAATTAACATATAAATTTTACCTCTCAAAAAATTGATTTCCTACGAAGAAATAAAATATCTTTCGGAAGATGGAATGAGTACGAACGTGTAAGAATTTGATGCAACGGACGAATCATGACTCAACGATTTAACCATTTTCAAAAGCACGAATGGTATGCTTCCATCAAGGTTTAAATTAAAGTAGCAACGTGTTGGTAACAACGTACTAGCAGTAACTGTCAGTGATTACGTCATTATTGATTCGCTGTCCATATATTCCCAGAACACACGAACAATTATCCCAATCGATTCCATCAGACTGGATAATACTTCTGTTGGTGCACATATGACCTACTTTTTTGGAGTCTCCTCATCGTTTTTTTTTCCGATTGAGTGGGCTCCAGATTTAGCAC